GGGGGGGGAGGGGGGGTCGAAGAAAAAAAGGAAAAAAGAAAAATAATTAAATAATGAATAAAAAGAAAATTATGTAGTATTAAAAAAGGAAAAACACGTGTTAAAATATGGTTGGTGTGTGATATACTATTTCAGTTGAAACTGAGGATGGCCTAAAAAGGTGGTATTTATTACCGTTCAAACAAAGACAAGGGGTCATAGGACTGCAAAGTATAAGGGTAAAACTGGTACAATGAGACAACTTCAGGGAGGTAATTATGTATTATCCCTTTTTTTAATTTGATCTAAACTTTTTGGGTTTAAGGCATGAAGGAGAAGAGTGTAGGGCAGCAAGAAAGAGACAACTTGGAGCTCTTCATCGGAAACAAAGGTGAACTTTCTCTCATCTCTTAGTTTCGTGCATGTTCTGTGCTACCTCTTTTTCATCTCAAGAGTTGTCCTTCTCTCTGTTTAATTTAGATTGTGGAATATAGATATCTATGTTGATTCAGCAGATTTAACTTGGTCGGAATCTTTTGGTTGACTGCGCTACGACAATTTCATCAGAAAATTCTAAATATCCAAACGCTAATTTCAAAATTTGACGTAGCTCTATAAATTTTTAGAAAATATGATGGATTCTGTACTTAGATAGAGCTATGATTTATTGATACAGATAATATTCTCACTATTAGATTTGGGTATTGTTCTCTCTTGTGTATGTTGGTTTCATTCAGTGTTATCAAAGGCGTGCTTAAAGCGCCTTAAGCCCTGAAACAAGGCTCAAAACATGTTGAGCGCCTCGCCCGCATACCAAGCGCTTCAGTATTGTCATCAAGGCTCTAAGACATACTTTTCTTTGCCGATGAGTGTAATCCTGAAAACGCGACACTAAACAATTGATATTTTGATATTTCACTTTGTCATAAATTATCTTCAGTTTTTTTGTCGATATATTTGGTACTCATGCTTATAAATATTAGTCTTGGACTACACATACATATTTGTCGTTTTTCTCTGTTTGCACTTTTCTTTATTAAAGCTCATGCTTTATTTGCACTTTGCGCTTAAAGCCCCAACAGACCTTAGAGTATTTTTGCGCTTTTCGCCTTTAATAACACTGGTTCATGGCCGTAAGTAACAAGAACAGGAGTGTGCAGAACTTTCAGCACAACCTTTGGTAGTTCACTTTTCTACAAAATATTTGCTCTCGACATGGATGAACGGTGTTAATAAAGAAAAACTTAGATGTATAGCAAATGTGTGACTTTAAATACATGTAATTGATTCGTCGCTTGTGTGTCTATATATTTGCAGTTCAGTTTCGCTTTTCGAGTCTCCTAGTGGGTATATATCAAAAATCATAACGATTTACATTCTTACAAGTAAGTTTTCATATATTGTAACACTTTTAAGTCATACAATAACCTCTCTTGATTACTATTTTCTTATCATACCCACTTCTGTTAAGCCTTTATATACCTCCTTCTTTAGTCCTATGTAATTGAAATGCTATTTTTGGTATCTTTTTTATCGTTGTTTACAGAAAAATCGTTATTTAGATCATTAGTGAACAATTGATGTGGAAGTAAGAATTATTGGTAAAGTTACTTTTAAATTTCTGTTTTTACCTGGTGTTTTTATATTTTCTCGTGTCTACTGATTTATGCTTTTCTATACACTCCTTTCAGCCATAATATCATGGTGGTCAGAATTCCATATTATAATACTGAAAAGTTTCTCTGGAATTGCCTCTTATCCCCTACTGCTTTATGGGAAAATTGGAGTAAAAAGAAATAGTGTGAAGGAGGAAAAAGAGCTGAAAGCATCCTTTTTCAAAGTTTTCTTAAGTTATATTTCCTAGATATATCAGTTATAAAAGTAGTCAACAACCTTACTTGAGCAGGATCAGTCACACAATCATGACTGACAACAACTATTTTTTTATACAATTTTTGCCTGCTAAAGAGGCTTGTGTGTGAATAACCTTCAAAAGAAGGCCTAGCTCAAAGGGGGTGGATTTGTGTCTTAGGTCACAGGTTCAAGCCCCCACACCATGCAAAGCAAAGCCTGGTATTTAAGTGGAGAAGGGTAGAGGGGCGGGCCCATTATCCACCGAGTTTCGAAGGCTGCGGTTGGTCCAAAGGATCAGCCCCAGACGGATTTCTCGGTCATCAAAAAAAAAAGAAAGGTACCCAACATTGCAGCAAAGGGCCTCTCTGTAGAGATCATCACAAAGGTACTTAACCACCTCTCTCTACCCTACAAAACACATCAATGCTTTGATGTTGTTTCTCAGCACCTGAAATTAGTTTTGGTCATATCTTAACAACTCTTGAATTTTTTTCATGGCTGATACCATATGGAGGTTTGCCTTCAGCTACCTCTTTTTCTGTGTTTGGCATCTTTATGAGGGAGGTTTCTGGTTCTGAAATATTTATTGTGTGTCGCTTATCATTGCTGAAACATGATATAACATGTATGAAAAGGGTAGGTATCGTATAACTTTCTATGTAAACTGAGTCATTAACAAACTTTTACTAGATATAATGGTTAATATAAAATATGGATTTAAGATTGCATTGTGACACATGATGTAGCTTCAACACCAAGTTAGTGCTAAAAGTAGGGATGGTACGCGGGACTTGATTAGTTCTGTTAACAGAATTTTGTATCGTAGAAAAATGATGAAAAATCTTAAGGGTGTGATTTTTTCCCTTTAAATCATGCTCGAGATTTTAACATCAAATTCGCTGTTTGTAGGCTTATAAAGACAAACTTTTAACACTTCCAATCCTATCTTCATATATGATCCTTGTAACTTCTTGGACCAACAAAAAACTAGAGAAGTTGAGGGGTCGAATTTATAACATAGCTTCTTGTTCTTTGTAATAGTTGCTGCTTTGTCTATTTGGAACATTGAAAACTTGATAAATTTTATTTTTTATAGAAGGTTTAGTTAGTAACTTAGTATTGACAAGTTTAATTTGCATTTCTTTTGCTGTATGTTGAAATATATTACCTTTTTTTTGTTGATTTATGTTGAAATATATACTTAGCAACCTTAGCAGGCACCGTATAGAGACTATCATTTTGCTCTGCTACTTTCAAGTTTCATGGGATGTGGATTTGCTCTACTTGCATATACTCATGTGTATCAGTATATGCAATATCAACCTACAAGACAAGGCAATCTAATAACAAACTATTGAGAAACAACAGAGTTCGACGGAACGCTTACCATGACAGCTTTCCATTAAGTAGCAAGCTGAAAAAGACGTAGTAAATGAGGCTCTAGATTGGTTGTTGAAAGGCACCGTTCTTATGTCCTTTTTGCATATATTTTTGTACACATATGGTAAATAAATAAAAAATATGCTCATGTTGTATGGAAAACTTTTTTGATTATGATTATCTATTTCAATTTTAATGTGGGGCAACTGCGTTTACTATCATCGCTGCAAATTGAAAAAGAATCTAATATATTGGACTTGTGCTGGCACGGGCTATCCCTACCTAGTAGGGCTGGCAAGTGGGCCGGTCCAAACGGTTCCGATCCCGGGCCTGGTCCTGGGCCGGTCCCAAATTAAACGGGTCAAACGGTCCCGGGCTAAACGGGCTTTTTGTAGGGACCGGTCTGGGACCGCGATCGTTTGGTCCCGGGCTAAACGGTCCCGGCCCGCGAGCTAAACGGGCTAAGTGGGTCCAACATATATTTTTTTTAAAAAAAAAAAAATTAAATAGATATTAGAGACAAAAGGATGTTAAAAAAAATATCTAAGGCAATGCTTTGTAAATTTTATTATAGAATTGTGACCTAAATTTTATTTAACATCCTAAATTTTAATATTCAATATTTAATATCGAATATATATATATATATATATA